AGCTTTGAAACGCTTTCAAGTTGTTGCAGATGTTGTACAGGAAATTATTCAGGTAATTGTATATAGAAATTATATAAGTATCCACTAAATTTTCATGAAATTTACGTGGTAAGAAGGTCACGCGACCCCATAATGCAATATTTTTATCCCAACCGACGCTTTCTCCCTTTGCATGAAAGATTTCTAGGTTGCGAAGCTGTGGGGTTAATTTCTTCTAGGTCATCCTGTATGTCATTCTAGCTATGTAGGTTAGTTGAAAGAATGAAGCTTCAGTCTCTCAGACTAATTAGTTCCAGTCGTATGGCCAAGAGTTTTTGAAATTCTACTTGCCAGCTTTCGGAAGTATGTATTACTTGAAAATTGCATTTTAGTAATGTTAAATTAGTAACCACAGTAGGAATGGGCCTGCTTATAAATAGTTGTCATCTTGAAAGGTGTGGAAGCTTGAGACAAATTTAAGGCCCCAGGCTACGAAACATTAGGTGCGATCTATGCGTTTTGCGTTAAACTTACAGATCGTTAAAGCAGGAATGGTTTCTGTTCTGTAGTTTAACAGTTGGGTTCGTATTGGCTGTGTTTTGCCTCTTTTCGCATGCAAAAGGAGAAGGCGTCGACTGGGACAAAAGTATTGCATTATGGGGTCACGTGACTTTCTATCATGCGTGTTTATCAATTTTTGCATCAAGCCCGGTCTTTTTCCCAGTGAGAGGTAGTTCGTTAAAAAAAATACCCATCTGAAGGGAATCGGAAGAGGATTGCGAAATCCGCAAACGATTAGGACGCCTGAGGCAAAAAGCCATCTTAAAAGGTAAGGAAACCTGAGATAAATTTATGAAAAAAATGAGAATTTAATGCTTACTCTGTCAAAAGAGGAGGCACTAGCTATTTAGTTCATTTGTGCACCTAGAAATTTAGTTATGGGTAATTATCGGTTAAGGATGTGCACTTACATAAGTTTCCGCAAAGAACGATGAATACTGTGGAATACTTTTTTTTCTGCATCACTGATCCAAACCGACATTTTAAAACGACCACATTTGTCTGTTTTTGTCTGTCTGAGAAATTAGAATATATGAACAATGACCCCGACAGTATCTGCCGTCTCA